TGTTGTTGTTGTTGTTGTTGTTGTTGTTGTTGTTGTTGTTGTTGTTGTTGTTGTTGTTCGACTCTTCGGTGATAGGCCTATTACTTTTTACAAAGAACAGGACTCAGATGTTTAACAGCTACTGTATTGAAATGAAATAATGGGGCAGACCAAAACAAATTTCTTTAACAAAATTTTGTCTCTTGTTTTAGTAAACATGAACGGCGTTTATTGATAATAAATTGAGTGGAGTGATTTATAAAGAATCTTGATGACAAATTTGATGTTTAAGCAGTTTAAAAAAAAAAACAACCTGCAGCAAATGTAAGAATTGGTTGCAAGAAAAGTCAGCTTGAGTTTGATTCGAATCTAGTATGTCATCGTGTTGAAATTATAAATGTCATAGTTGATAATGTCATAGTTGATACTGTCATAGTTGATACTGCTAGTCAATCTTTGACAGAACGTTATGAGCCAAAGAAACAACACAGCAACAACGTATTGAAAGGATCACAACTATGTCGTAAAGAAACAACACAGCAACAACTTATTTAAAGGACCACAACCATGTCGTAAAGAAACAACACAGCGACAACTTATTTAAAGGACCACAACCATGTCGTAAAGAAACAACACAGCAACAACTTATTTAAAGGACCACAACCATGTCGTTAAGAAACAACACGGCAACAGCTTATTTGAAGGACCACAACCATGTCGTTAAGAAACAACACAGCAACAGCTTATTTAAAGGACCACAACCTTGTCGTAAAGAAACAACACAGCAACAGCTTATTTCAAGGATCACAACCATGTCGTAAGGAACTTTTGAAACAAATGTAAAGATTCACAAAGTTTGCAAACAGTTCTGAATATCTCAGATAATGATGTGAAGAAATACTTTCTTTTCCACATAATATGCTGTCATGCAAAAAATTCCAATGGAGATTAAATACATTTTACACCACCATTAATGTCTGGAATTTTGTCTATTCCAAATATATTACCAGGAAATTTCTCCTCGAGTTTTGCCGAATATTCCAGTATTGCAACTGACTAAAGAAAATTTTTTTTCAACTAAAATTTATTAAAACCTATTTATGAGCATTTTTTAATGAGGAAATGCTCCAATCTTTGTCTACGCGGGCTATTGGGTTTTTTTCAAAACAGGACGAATCTGGACATGGGGCAGGTGGTACAAAGGGTCTTCCTAACGTCCAGAACTGAGCAATTTTGTTATATGTTGCTTTTGGCTCACTGGGTGTATTACAGTATGTTTAAACTGTTTAAATAACGGATCTACACAATGGTTGGTCTACGTATCTACTCAATGGTTGGTCTACGTATCTACTCAATGGTTGGTCTACGTATCTACTCAATGGTTGGTCTACGTATCTACTCAATGGTTGGTCTACGTATCTACTCAATGGTTGGTCTACGTATCTACTCAATGGTTGGTCTACGTATCTACTCAATGGTTGGTCTACGTATCTACTCAATGGTTGGTCTACGTATCTACTCAATGGTTGGTCTACGTTTCTACTCAATGGTTGGTCTACGTATCTACTCAATGGTTGGTCTACGTATCTACTCAATGGTTGGTCTACGTATCTACTCAATGGTTGGTCTATTTGCAAAATATTTATAATCTTAAACCCCCAAAAAGTTTTTTTTTTTTAATGTTGAGTTAGATTACTCGAAATATTTAGTGGTGTTTTTTTTTTTCATTGACAAAGGTAAACAATGCGTGTTTTTTAAAAATTATTATTATTTTTTTACATTTGATCTCATTTTTTGCTTTTGGATGAGTTTTATCGAAAAATGTCATATTATAAAATTATTTAGACGTTTACATCTAGTGAGTCTTTGATCTTAATCATTTTCATTATACTTATTGACATTTCGCAATGTAGTATATTAAAAATTAATATCAACCTGAAAATGTATAGAAGGTAGGCGCGCAAAATTTTCCCCTCAAACCCCCCCCCCCCCCCCCCCCCCCCCCCCCCCCACCCGTTTCCCCACATCCATCTGAAGTGATAAAAATGTGGCGAAGATCACCGAGAAATGGCCTGCGTGTGTGGGTGGGGGGGTTCTGTGTGTGTGTGTGTGTGTGTGTTCGTGCGTCTCGCAGAATATGATTGCTGTAAGAGCCTCAGGGCAATCAGTGCACAAATGTGCATAACTGTTTCGTTATTTGCACCAAGACACCCCCCACCCCACAAAGCATAGGCGTCTATACTAAAAAATCTAAAAAATCAACACCCCACACCCCTCAGGGCGTACCTAATATAGGGATGGCCCCATATCGGACAACTACCACACCCCTCAGGACGTACCTAATATACGGATGGCCCCATATCGGACAACTACCACACCCCTCAGGACGTACCTAATATACGGATGGCCCCATATCGGACAACTACCACACCCCTCAGGACGTACCTTAATATATGGATGGCCCCATATTGGACAACTAAAATACCCCTTAGGACGTACCTGATATATGGATGGAACCATATCGGACAACTACCCCTCCACACTTAAAACATACGGAACACAATAAATAAAATTTAACTTTGTCGTTGTGGGGCCAGTAATAAAATAACATTTTCTTTTGAGCGAACAAGTGAGAAGTGACAAGCATTTTGACAGCGCGGCAGGTTTGATTAATTGGTTTTGTCCCATCTGTGTGGTCGTCTTGAAACACGACCAGAAGACGTGGCTTCAAATCAACTTTGTCATGAACAAAACAAATTAGGACTGTTTTTTTTCCCTCACCGTGTTTGTTAAAAGATTCAAGTAAGCGGAAGTAGTTTTTCATACATGTTTAATTAATGAAGTACGTTTTTTTTTTTAAATGTCAAAATTCGTAATGAATTACGGTGTTATTGCAGTTTAGAAATCTTTCCTTGTTATTGTTTTGTTAATTGATGAATAGATTTGTCAAATGTTTATCAACAGAGCCGAAATAGTTGACTCCATTTTAGCCAAGCGAGGGCGGATGAACTTGGAAACACAATTTCCCAAGATAATGAATTCCCTATTTTCTATAGTTGAATGGCCAGTGCAGACCTGTTTACTCTTACGATTTTGGTGTACAAAGTACGATTTTGAGGTGTATACATCATATTTACTGTATGTATATTTTTTATTATTAAGATAATGTATTGAACGATTTTGTGATGATATTGTACGATTTTAAAGGGTGTGAGGGTAAACAGGTCTGCCATTGTAGTCTTGTTTGGCATCCGTCCGTCACTATGGGGTGATGGTGTGGACTTGTCCGTCACGATGTGGTGATGGTGTAGACTTGTCCGTCACAATGTGGTGATGGTGTTGACTTCGCACGACGATATCACAAGGCCTGGGATATTTTTTTTTATGACTAAAAGCTGGTTCTTTAGACAGAAAATGGTCCCTCTCCACGCACATGGATAGCCCAAGGGAACACTATATAAGGATGATACAGCTTGGCACCAGTTGGGTCGCAAGAGTTGTCGGAATCTTTCATTGTATTAAGGCTGCGACTATTCGCACCCGGGTACCAGAAGGGAGAGGTTGGGATTAAAAAGCTATTTAAAATATTGTTGGGTTTATAAGACAAAAATGAGGTATCAAATGCAAGATAATTGAATGGACTATACGTTTGATAACTTACTTCTTCAGTTTAACTAAAATTAACTACCATTAACTCTGTTGCATATTACTAGCCTTAGATAGGTAACTAGCGCATTTGCGTCTATCGCCTCGGGCCTTCCAATACATTGACCGTGGGCCGTTAAGATAGACGAGAAGAAGAACAACTCTGTTGTGCATAGCTTGACACGTAACGGTAAACAACATCTGATGTGTACGTACAGTCATGAACATGGGACGGTACCTAAACATTTATTTAAACATAAAGATAATTGACCATATTTTAGTTTTACAACATCCCCTATGATTTAATGTCTTATCTTACTACACTCCAGTTGAACCAGTCGAAGAGAAGCCATTCGTTCCACTGACCACGACTATCCACAGGAAATAATATTAATGTGGTAAAAAAAATAATTAAATTGAGTTTTTTTTCCAGAATCTAGTCTCATGGGGACATTTTCAGCCTCAGGTTTGGACTTCGATTTGTTTGAGGTCAATTTACGGTCAATCATTTAACTGAGGGGGAACTAAAGTCAGTGATTTAATTTCAATTATGAAAGTTTTCCACAGCTCAGATAATTAATGACTTCTTCAGGTTCAAGAAAAATTAATGGGAAGCTAGGTCTATCAAATTAATGGGAATCTGGGTGTGGTAAATTAATGGGAATCTGGGTGTGGTAAATTACTGGGAATCTGGGTGTGGTAAATTAATGGGAATCTGGGTGTGGTAAATTAATGGGAATCTGGGTGTGGTAAATTAATGGGAATCTGGGTGTGGTAAATTAACGGGAATCTGGGTGTGGTAAATTAATGGGAATCTGGGTGTGGTAAATTAATGGGAATCTGGGTGTGGTAAATTAATGGGAATCTGGGTGTGGTAAATTAATGGGAATCTGGGTGTGGTAAATTAATGGGAATCTGGGTGTGGTAAATTAATGGGAATCTGGGTGTGGTAAATTAATGGGAGAATCTGGGTGTGGTAAATTAATGGGAATCTGGGTGTGGTAAATTAATGGGAATCTGGGTGTGGTAAATTAATGGGAATCTGGGTGTGGTAAATTAATGGGAATCTGGGTGTGGTAAATTAATGGGAATCTGGGTGTGGTAAATGAATGGGAATCTGGGTGTGGTAAATTAATGGGAATCTGGGTGTGGTAAATTAATGAACGAAACTTGAGGAAAAGTGAGGAATGATGCACACAAGTATTGTTAAATTTATATTTGATTGTAATACTATAAATAATACTATAGCATTGGCCAAAGATGTTTACGGAGAAATGAATTAAAATGTATAACCTAAGTATGACTTTAATTAATCGTGCCAACCTCTAGGATCTGTACAATTTACACCAAAGGAAAAACACAAACTTAATCATGTCGTAGCTTTGTTTTAATGGTTTAGAGCTATACACGCTATTCAGATAAAAATCTTAACATATCACTTACAAAGTACACAGAAATATTATCGATGTCAATCACTTATCATGACAATGATTTGTATACCGTGATAGCGGTACTGAGCAATTCTATTCCATCGGTACTTCACACATAAATCTGGTGTCCGAGTTGTCGTAGTAGCACCGGAAGTCGTCCATCCTCCAGTCGTTCCGGTTCAATAAAATCAAACAATCTCCGTCAACGTCATTGGTTGGTTGTCCAGGAGTCCAGTCTAGCAACACTGCTGGTTCCTTGCTGTGGCGATAGACCCACGTCCCCTCGCGATCTTCATCGTTGCCGCCTGTGTAAACACCAAAGAAGTCTGAGGAATGGTTTCGAATGAAATTCTGAACAAAGCGATACTCTTTCAGGTCATCGATCTCGACGAGGTACCCTCCAAAAAGTTCACAAGTGGCCTCGGACACTGGGATGGCAGCACCTCCGGTTCTTTTGGAGAGGTAATAACGCCTGCCTTCAAACTCCGGGGAGATCTCGAATAGAGCGCCCGCAGCCAGCGCGAATCTTGAGCTGATTTTTGTCTTGAATATCTCAAGGTCATTTAGTCTTAGTCTGATATCTTTTAGCTCATTTCGGATAGTTATGTCGTCATCTGTAGTGGAGCTTGCTAAAAAAAGAAAAAGTAAACGATAATTATCGATGATTAAATCTTCCTTCTTCGCTTTTTACACATTTGGTTTATGGGGCTTAAGTGGATGGGGCTTAAGTTGATGGGGCTTAAGTTGATGGGGCTTAAGTTGATGGGGCTTAAGTTGATGGGGCTTAAGTTGATGGGGCTTAAGTTGATGGGGGTTAAGTTGGTGGGGCTTAAGTGGATGGGGCTTAAGTTGATGGGGGTTAAGTGGATGAGGCTTAAGTTGATGGGGGGTTAAGTTGATGGGGCTTAAGTGGATGGGCTTAAATGGATGGGGCTTAAGTGGATGGGGCTTAAGTGGATGGGGCTTAAGTGGATGGGGCTTAAGTGGATGGGGGTATAACACACGATATTTTTTTTAAACTTTGGGAATGAACATATTTGTGAGAGATCGTGTATGGCCAGTGACCAGCGGGGTTAAGTCCACATGATCCCCATGGCTTCAGATGTCTCATTCTATCAAATCAACCAAATGGTATTCTTTTAAGGATTTGACCCCGGGGACAGTAGTCCAAAAGGTTGAACAATGGTGTTAAATAAAGACCACCTCGTGCTGGATTTCAAGAGTCATACCCTATGTTAGATTGATACTGAATGCTATATGAAGGCTTTGAGATGCCTAGCTAACACCATAGGTGATATGAATCACAGGTTATGTGAAAACCTAGACGAGGACGAAACAAACAAAGATATAAGTATGTTGTTGTTTGATTTTGATTTTTTTTTACAACAAAAATCCTTGAAGACAGCTCTAACATTTAGTGTTTTTTTCATAGGTATTTAACTGGAATAATATTTGAATATCATATGGCTTATTCGATGAACATCAAGAATTTTAAAAGATTATTTTGAAACTATTTTAATTATGTCCAGGCTTCACAAAAATCAAATAGAATATTTAAAAGTTTAGCAAGACTAAGCATTCGACAAAAATTATGCAAGACTTAGTCGTAGACAAAAGTTTAGCAAGACTAAGTCCTAGACAAAAGGTTTAACAGGACTAAGCCTTGGACTAAAGTTTAGCAAGACTAAGTCGTAGAGAAAAGTTTAGCAAGACTAAATCGTAGACAAAAGTTTAGCAAGACTAAGTCGTAGACAAAAGTTTAGCAAGACTAAGCCGTCGACAAAAGTTTAGCAAGACTAAGTCGTAGACAAAAGTTTAGCAAGACTAAGCCGTAGACAAAAGTTTAGCAAGACTAAGCCGTGGACATAGGCTAAGTTCTCTCTGATGTCGAAAACAAAAAGAACAAGGCCATTGACATGTCCAGTACAATACTTTCTTGTTATATTAGGCGTTCATAACAACAACATTGTTGGTACCAACTTTTTTGTGTGATGCGTTTTACAAAGTCTTAAATATTTTTAAAATGAAAATTTCCATTTACCCGTCCACGAGACCGTGAGAAGTAGTCCGATGATGATGAGACACGTCATGGAAACCATCTTGTCGGGCCGTAGACCACCAAACTATTGTCCTGACTGTTATATACACCCTGACGTCAAGGGTCCTCACAAAAATTAATTTTAAAAAAAAATGATATTCCAGAGGTGGCCAACCCACGTTAACTATTGTGGACCGTCGGATGTAACACAAACGATCATATTTCGTCCTTCAATTAGCCTTTATTTTCATTCTTGACAAAATCGCACATTTAACAAATATATCAAGCAATTTTTGTCAAGGTGTGCATCATTTCGGTGACACCCACCCCCCTTTTTCTTTTAGACTGAACTTTAAAGAAAAAATACAAACCATATAGCAGTCATGGTGCCAACAGTAACCCACTGGAGTAATGAATGTTTGCAGTTACAAGATGGCGCTTAGTGACCTACACACGTGTTATATTTATTTTTACCCGATCCTTTATTTTTATTTTGTTAATGTCTTCATTATTGCGAAGTGCACTTCTTAAATTTTAACACAGGGCGCAGGGCGCCGGGAGAAAACCTCAACTTTGTCATAGGTGCCGGGATTCCAAACATGTTAGGAACCAGTGGTGTAGCCGTAACAACGCATGCGTCAGATTCACATCGAACATACGGTGGACTATAAATTACTGTAATACCTCTACTACTTAGTACTATCTGAGTGTATCTAGCGAGCTCATTTGTGAAAATACATGGCAACCTTGGGACGATACTTCCTACAAAACACCCCGTGATGGCTTTACAGCAGTCAAACTATAAATATGCTACTTTTGGACTGTGGGATATTCAGGATGATTATTGTAGAAGTTTTGAATAAATGTACGTACTTTCTGAGGAGACCCCCCTCCCCCCAACCCCCGAACCGTACACTAAATCTCCTAAATTGACAACCCCCCACCTCCTCCCCCCCCCAAACCACCAAATAAAAATCCCGCCTATGTTCCTCCGTACTTAAAGAGGAACCCTTTTCTGAAAAGTAAAGGTTTAAACCTTGCAGTCAACGGAACCAATAATTAGGGTTTATTCTGTAACATTAGGTAAATTTAGAAAGGAAAGGGGGCTCACCCAATGTGAAGTCAAAAGATGCACCTTCAACTTGGCCTCAACGGGACAAATATTGACAGATGTTGACATAGGTTGAACGGCGACTAAGTGACTACAAACATGGGTTGATCAAACAACTACGTGACTACAAACATGGGTTGATCAAACAACTAAGTGACTACAAACATGGGTTGATCAAACAACAAGGTGTCTACAAACATGGGTTGATCAAACAACGAGGTGACTACAAACATGGGTTGATCAAAAAACGAGGTGACAACAAACATGGGTTGATCGAACAACGAGGTGACTACAAACATGGGTTGACCAGAAAACTGTCACTGAAGTGGATGGACCAGACAACTATCACTAACATGGGGGGACCATTAACAATCCCTAAGATGGGTGGACAAAACCACCAATATCTTGTGTAAGCGAGGCGACTAGGTCTAGTGGCGTAGGAATAGGGGAGGGGGTGGTGCAGGGGGGCTGTCCGTCCCGGGCAGAACGTTGTTCTTTATCTTTAAAGGGAGGGCAGCCTTTTTGCAAACTGCGGAGGTTTTTTTTTCGTGGAAGGGGTCGGCAAAAAGCTTGGCTTGCCCCAGGCGGGAACCAACCCTAGCTACGCCACCGACTAGGTGTCTTCTGATTTTGACACACAGCATTCGTGGGAATTGTTTTTAAGGCTTGATTGGCAAGGATGTAAGCACATCGTAAACGTAAGCCTAAGCATCATAATCTCGACCTGTGGTATAGAAACCCGTTGCCGCCATTCATTTTAGGGCTGGAGTTGGTCTCGGATTCGGAGAGTGGAGTGTGGGCGCTGGCGTTCAAAAAAAAAAAAAAAAATTTAAAAATGTATTTTAAAAATTACACGTAAGCATTTGACATCATTTTATTGTTACAAGGTCGTTAGATGACTAACTGAATAAATTGGCCGGGGAACCCATGAGACTTGACCGAATTTTCGACAGGGCAGCAGGTGGTGTTAATTGGTTTAGTCGTTAGCCTGGACACTTTAATTAAACAACTCCCCCCCCCCCTGGTTATGGTTCTATGCTATTCTCCTAGAATGGCAGGGCCGACACTATTTCAAGCGAACTGTAGCAGCGGCCCCAGGGCGCAGACCTCAGAGGGTCCACTAAGAGGCTTTCACACTTTTATGCAGAGTTGTCATACAAGACTTAACAGACTAACTCCAACAGTGATTCTCAAAGTGGGCTGTTGAAGTATTTTTCTACACATCTGCTGGACGCAGAAATTGGAAATTAAAAACATAACACTTTCATATCATATTAAACTCTACTTTTATAACATAATAAAATCTACTTTCATATCATAATAAACTCTACTTTTTGTTGGAAATTGACAAAATACTGAATGTTGCGCATTGTTTTGCACACCACATTTTGTATTGTGTATTGACGTCACGTTGTTATGCAGTTCTTGTCGAAGACTCCATGTTGGTGGGACTCCATGTTGTTCTCCTACAATAAAACGTTGAACTAACCTTGATGGTTGCCATTGCTTGTTTCATTATCTTCCTTGTGAAGTTGGATTAGCAACTTATATATTTTGAAGTGGATTAGCAACATAATATTTTCAACACTTTTATATCATAATAAACTCTATTTCATATCATATTAAACTCTAGTTTTATAACATATTATATTAATAAAATCTACTTTCATATCATAATAAAATCTATTTTCATATCATAATAAACTCTACTTTTATAACATAATAAACTCTCCTTTCATATCATAATAAACTCTACTTTCATATCATAATAAACTCTACTTTTATATCATAATAAACTTCACTTTCATATCATAATAAACTCTACTTTCATATCATAATAAACTCTACTTTTATATCATACTAAACTTCACTTTCATATCATAATAAACTCTACTTTATGTCATAATAAACTGTACTCTTATGTCCTAAAAAAAACTCTACTTTCATATCATGATAAACTCTGCTTTCAAATCATAATAAACTCTACTTTTTATCACAATAAACTCTAATTTTTATATCATAATAAACTCTACTTTTATAACACAATAAACTCTACTTTTATAACACAATAAACTCTACTTTTATATCATAATAAACTCTACTTTTATAACATAATAAAATCTACTTTTATATCCTAATAAACTCTAATTTCATATCATAATAAACTCTAATTTTATGTCATAATAAACTCTACTTTGATAGCATAATAAACTCTGCATTCAAATCATAATAAACTATACTTTATATAAAAATAAAACTTATACTTATCTTATAATAAACTCTAATTTATAGCATAATAAACTTTATATTTATCTTATAATAAACTCTACTTTCATATCAAAATAAACTCAGCATACTTTCAGCATTGGCCAATATCCAGACCTGTCAGACCTAGAAGCTAGAATGGGTGTATGGGGGGGGGGGTCACCATCTGATAAGTTGCGTCATTAAGGTTGGCGTTACCCAATTGGGTAAACCAATGATGCCGCCCTTCTCCATTTCAGACTGCCCGATGGACCTCTTTGAGTCTGTTTGACTCCCTTATCTGGTGCCAAACTTTTCTGTTTGCACCCTGACTTGGTGGCACCCTGACCAGGTGGCACCTTCACCTGGTGCCAAACGTTTTTGGTTGCACTCTCAGCTAGTGCAAAACTTTTCTGTTTGCACCCTGACCTGATGGCACCCTGACCTGGTGGCACCCTGACCTGGTGGCACCCTGACCTGGTTGCACCCTGGTCTGGTGGCACCCTGACCTGGTGTCACCCTGACTTGGTGGCACCCTGACCTGGTTGCACCCTGACCTGGTTGCACCCTGACCTGGTTGCACCCTGACCTGGTGCCACCCTGACCTGGTGCCACCCTGACCTGGTGGCACCCTGACCTGGGGCCAAACGTTTTTGGCTGCATTCTGACCTTGTGCAAAACTTTTCTGTTTGCATCCTGACCTGGTGTAAATCTGACCTGGTGGCACCCTGACCTGGCGCAAACCTTTTTTGGTTGCACCCTGACCTGGTGGCCTACTGACCTGGTGGCCCCCTGACCTGGTGGCACCCTACTCATGTAATTAACTTAGTTCCTTTTTGAAACGGACTTAAACAAACATTAACTAATTAAAAATTTTCCATTTAGTGTCCGTCCAACCACCACCCCTCGTTGAGATTGACCCCCATCCCCCATTGCGATTTGACCATACAAAGGCCTCATTTTACACCATTTAACCTTAACTGTGTGATATACTTTTTTCATATTACTTCTATTCCGCTGCAGTGGGGATTTGGAAAAGGGGGGGGGGAGATGAAAAAGCAATGAAAAATTTGTTGGACACTCCAATATTTTCTTTTAAAATATTGTTTTAAACATATTATTATTTAACGTAAAATTATTCAACATATTATTTTTACCATAATTATCATCATTTAACATATTGTTGTTGCTTCAAAGTTTGACTTGTTACTGTGCATAAATATATCAGCTGTACAACTTAAATGTGACGTCAGAGATGTACATACAGTGCTGCGCTTACAATGACAAGCGCCGGTTTCAAACAGGTTTTATGTCAACAATTTTTTAATATTTTCTTTCATATTTAATGTTTTTGGGAGGTTGGGGGGTTTGCAGAACTTCCAGATTCCAGATTTTATGACATTTTTTTTTAAGGCTGGGCTTCTGAATTTTTCTGACGGCATTTGTGACGAAACAGATGTCTGCCAATTTCGTGTGACGCCGTGAAGGGACAGCTCCATAAAAATATGTGTCAAATATTAACACTTGTAGTTTTTTTTTTTTAATCGCAATTTGAATCAATGTTTTGTAAAGGGTGGGGGGTACGTCGTGGGAGGAGGTATTTTCGGATACAACCTCAATGAAAATGGCCTGGTATCCAGTGAAGATAGTAATAAAGCGTTGCCCTTATTTAACGCCAGCCCCAAAAGGAACCAATTTAAGGGCTAATCATATTATAGCGACACTGTAAAATCTGACTCCATGTATAGAGAGTTCGATTAAACGCTTCACCGGATGTGTCCTTCCAATGGCCAAACAAAGTTAGGGCAATCGAAATGAGTTTGCAGCTCGGCCGTCCGATACCTTAGAAATCGATTCCTAGTAATGACGTATTTACTTGATCGAACTGAGAAACATTTCTGATATCACTTTAAAAATAATGTTACAGATGACAAGTTGTAAAAAAAAAATCAAATGACTTCTTCTTTACACTTTTTTAGTTTGTTAATTCTTTGTGGTAGTTTTTTTTTATAAACATATCTTGGTTTCTTAACCACATTTACTTCTGAATTCTCTCGATAGAGTGCCAGTCAATGACATTGAATGAATTATT